AAACTCTTAGTCGAGCTGATGGCAAAATCAATTTTTTATTCGAGATTTTTTGCCCAATTCACCAAGGAATATTTTGAATGTTATTGGCTGATAGCTTACTACTAGGGTAGATCAAGCATTGGAATTATGTAACCATGCTATGGTAAAAAGTAAGTTAGAGTGAAGATATCAAAATTTTTATTTTTTTCTATTTATAAAATATTCTTTTCATTTAATTGAGTAAGTGTTTTATTTTTCATCTAACTTATCCATTATAACAGTTTACTCATCAAACTCCAAGTTGTTTCTCAATATTCACTCATTGTTGAGATATTGCACTCCATTCATCTTTTGTCAAATTATCCTTATTGCTGACTTATTGTACAAAAATTCCTTATGACAAATAATCTGGTTGAAAAAGTACAACTCAACCAAATCATTGAAATATCATATTTCATTAGTCATCCAACTTACACTATAGCCACAATTTACTCATCAAACTTCAAATTGCTTCTTAATGATCACTCATCTTTGAGATGTTGCATTGCTTTCATTATTCGTTAGATTTCATTTCCTTCATTGTTAACGTGTCGCGTGAAAATTCACGTAGCAAGTCACGACTGTAAAAAAGTTACAACTTATCCAACTCACCAAAATCGTCACGTGTGAAATGCTACTTTCATGATCTGATAAACTTCTCTTAAACCCCAATTGTTCGTCCCAAATTTTAGTCCGAAAAAATCCTAGCACCCAATTCACTATTTCACCCCACATATAACTAATTTTGTATTAAGACATAATTGATTATTGAGAAGGATGCGAGAAGCTAATACTTATAAAGTCCTATCCCCCAATTGTACAATCTAATCCGACGTCTCTCTAATCCTGATCTTTCATTTTATGCAAGTTTGTATCCGATTATTTATGAATGAAATATGGCCTAGAAGGTATTCCAGTTATACACCAACCGTTGGAGTACAATAAAATTTTCTTTCTTAAAATGCTGGAACACACACCTATAAAATTAAATATTGTAATTAGAGAAATACGGGACCAATAGTACAACTAGGGGGATGGAGCTTTAAAAATAATAGCTTCTTGCGTACTTCTAAATTATCAGTTATGTCTCAGCACATAATTTCACTGTGCATGGATAAGACGAGTGAATTGGGGGCTAGAGTTTTCTAAGGCTGAAATTTTGGATGAACAATTGAAGCTTACAGAAGTTTATGGGCCATGGAAGTCACATTTTGTATATGACAAATTTAATGAGTTGGATGGTTTGATTGGGTTGTAATTTCTTTAACGATTGTAACTTGTCATATAGAATTTCCTATGACACACAAAGAATAGTATCTAAATCTGTAGCTGATGAGGATGCTGTTGCAGTGGCTGAGTTTGTGATAGTCTGAATTCATTCCCTTCTTGATGTAGAGAATTGTCCACCTAAGAGAATCACAAGTTTACTAGGAGTAGGCTTCCCACCCCAATCACATGTAAATATTTCGTGGCATCGGTGAAAAAGAATAAATGGATAAATTTTTCAGATACTAACTATGTCTTTTCTCATCCGTCGTCCTTTGGGTTGTCTATTGTCAACCCCTTGACTGGATGGGTAAGAAGGTGGTGGCATCCAACATGGCGACTTATACTTGCCTCACGATTGATGTATTCGACGATGATAATGGCCCAATCCACTTCCCAGAGAAGCCAGTTGCTTTAGAACTACCCACTCATGAGTTGTTCTTCAACTTGCAGCATACCAAGCCCTAGCCCGGCCCGATAACTAAGTAGTGACGACGGGAATGAAATCTAGCAGATGATGGATGCAATGCAACGCTTCAAAGATGAACGACCATTGAGAAGCATTTAGAAGCTTTGATAAGCGAATCGTGATCACAAAGTACAAGTTGAATGAGTAATGAAATATTTTTCTTGAATAGTTTGATTAATTGTAATTTTTTTAACGAACATAACTTGTCACATGATATATTCGTGTGACCCATGACCAACAAGGAGAATGGAATCTGATGAATTATGGATAAAGTGTAATGTTTGAAAGATGAGTACCGTTGAGAAGAAATTTTAAGTTTCATCAGTAAACCGTCATTATACTATAAGTTGAGTGTGTAATGTAACATTTTACTCCATTTTACTAGCATATTTATCTACAATATATTAAAAGTGTGGATTAAGGAGAAACTTTTGAATACCAAATCTACCATTATATATTTACCTATATGTCTAATATACCCTCATTTGGTTTACAAAAAGAAAATAAGAAAAATAAAATGAAAGGTTGCATTAATATGCTATATTTATTATTTACCCTTATTCAAAATTTGTTTTGATTGACAATTAATAAAGCATATACCTAAGTTTAGATAAGATGAAATACCAAATGATTCAATTTATTTCCTCTAAATAAGATAATTAATAATTATTATTTCTTTTGAAAGTTAAGTCAATTAATTTCCACTAAACACAATTTTTAGTACACAATTAATAAAAACATTATTACATACAATTAAAAGAAATAATAATACTACATATATAATTAACTACGGAATACTAAATGATTCAATTTATTTCCTCTAAATAAGATAATTAATAATTATTATTGCTTTCGAAAATTAGGTCAATTAATTTTCACTAAACACAATTATTAATAATTATTTAATAAAAATATTATCACATACAATTAAAAGAAATTATATAAATATTTTTTTTTCCAGAAAACAATAGTATGTAATAATATTTTTTAATCATTATTGAATATGTGTTATTGTCTTAATTTACCTTCATTGAAATGAGAAAAAACTAAAAATACTTGCAATGAAAATGAAAATCGTATAATCACAAGGGAAAATCGAAGTGAACAATTTTTAAAGAAATGAAATAATCACACAAATAAAATATCATTCATTACCCTTAAAGAAATAGTTAATGGTATATTTTTTGCTCTTCAAAATTGAATAGTAAGTAACTAATTATTTGAATAATGATTAACATGATTAAGAACATTATTGGTTCACATTCATTTGCAACAAATTTTAAAATTTATGCCCATGATATAAAATAGAAATGTCTCAAATGTTAATATATAGTAACAAGGGAGCTGACCGCCCCATTGACAGAACCCCACCAATAGGGGGTGGGGCCCTTTTTTGGCGAGAGACCCAACCCAATTGGGGGGGTTCTGTCAAGGGCGCGGTTAGCCCCTTTGTTACACCAGCAATTT